CAACAAATTCACTGTTGGGAAATTTAGTCATGGTGAGAATTAGCCCTCTTCAGCATTGTTCTGCTAACAGTCTTTACAAAACGCTACAGACTTTTTGTGGATTGGCACGAGATGTTTTGAAGGAAGTGGAGAGTGACAGACAGCAGCGGGCCCGACTGAGAAACAAACAAGCTGTGAAGGAGAGGAGAGCTGAGAGGGTTTTGCCAGTGAAAAGATTAGAGTGGCATTTGGCTGCGACGCCAAGATGCATAGTTGCTCCTGTCACGCCGCCATGGCAACCAAAGATTCGCGCTTTCCTCCCCAGTGGCCCCGCTGAGTGTCCAGACTGCACCAAACGGCCATTTAAAGATGTCGTAATTATTCAAATTGACCCGGAGCCATGGCCAGCCATTCTTTAAGTAGAAATATCTTCATGATGAGCTGTTTTGGTCTCATTGTGTGAAAGTTTTGAAAGTTATAATTTATCCGTTAATCTCAAACAAAAACAACTGATGAGTAATCGTATTGGTATTAATGACAAGGCTTAAAGTGCTTAGACACTTTGCGAGCTATGGTACTTACTCACTAAACATTTATCTGACTGACTAGGTCTGGGTAGTGTAACTATAAAGTAAGGCTGCACTTGAATTTAAAGGTGCACTGCGCAACTTTTCTGGTGGAGGGTCCGCTACTTACTTGTCTCCATGGAGATGTTATTGCTTTGCCTGGAATGTTCCATGGTCTGACATCGTGTAAGCGCTTTGTGTTGCATTTTTTTGTATGAAAAGCACTCTGTAAATAAAGTTTGATTGATTGATTGAGTGATTGACATTGAACATATCCATCAAACATTTATTCATTACGTGTGTTTCTATTGCTCAAAAATACAATAATTCCTTCTGTGAAAAGGGGCGACTCTCCACAGATCTGAACTGTAATGAAGTGTAGTGCTGTAACCTGTTTGTCTCCCTCGTGATCGATAGGTTTAATCTATACTGTGGAACATTCTAGACAAACCAGTACCATTTCCAGGGAGACAAGCCTCCACTAGAAATGTTACACAGTGCACCTTTAAATTGCTATTTGCATTGCATTGTGGAAATTGCATAGGGGGCCCGTTCTACAGGAAATCAAACTCTACAAACTTGTCCTAATGTATGGGGTTTTTGTATTAGCTTAGCACCTACATCCTGTTTACACTAATAACAGTGATCAGAAAAATTACAGTTAGATCGATTTTTGATACTTATGACAACCCTGTAATTAATACTATGACATATAAAAGGAATAGATAAACACTATCTAATTTAACCAGAATTGCAGTCTAAACATTCAACTTTCCTCTTGCAGGACATAATTTTATTTATTTCAAAGCAAAATACTAAACAATATGTATGGGATTTTTGTATTACTTTAGCACCTAAATTCTGTTCACATTAGTAATACTGGTCATAAAAATTACAATAAGATTTTATTATGGGAGTACTACCTCCTCAGTATTAATGTCCACTGCAAGGTCTCTGTATCTTCTTTATCATAACAAAATAGAGCAGGTTTAAAGGTGCCTTGTGTAACTTTTCTGTTGTCTGGAATATTTCACAGTATGGCATTAAACCTTTCTATCTTCATGGAGACAAACCAGACCAAGCTATAAGTCAGATCTGTAGAGAGGCGACCCCGCTCAGAATGTCAGAATGCCTGTTTTTCTAGGTATTTTTGAGCTATAAAACCACCTGTAATTGAATAGATGTGATGTAGAGCTGTTTAATGTCATACTGTTGAACATTCTAGGCAGAGCAATTACATACCCGCAGAAACAAGAAGGTGACAGACTCTAACTGAAATGTTACACATTGTTCATAAACACCTTTTTACCTGATATATTGATAGTATGTATGCCAAATGTTCATTCTTCTCACCTCCTAAATGTGTGAAGAACTAAGTTTAATTGTCTCATTATGAACTTAGCATCCTTAGGTCTGCAGCGTTGCTTTTTGTCACAGAGTGCACTTGTTCCCCCTGTGGCCAATCAGCAGCATCTTTCCTGGTTGTTAAAACAGCAGCCGATTCCACACCTCGTCATCAGAGGTGATTGACAGCGTCCCAAAGGAAGCCGAGGTGGGTGAGGGGAAGGGAGACAAGGGGGGGGGCATTTACCTCCCATGCTCTTTCTCTCTCTGTCTCATGGGACTAAGTTAATGATCCAAGCCAAAATCATACAAAGAGCCTGAGAAGTGGGTGCGCGGCTGAAGCGTTTGGAGCAGTTTTGGGCTCGCTTTAGAAAGGGATTAGAAGAAGCAGAGGGGCTGTGTGAGGGGAATTTCAGAGATAGCGGCGGAGAGGCAGTCGGAAAAGTGAGAAGCTAAAAAGGAGGTTTGTGAGGAAAGCCACTGTTTTTTTTTATATAAATCTTTCCCCCCCTGGCTTTTGCTTGTGTCTTCATCTGTCACCAACAGCATGGACTGCCTGCTGCAAACTGGGAGGTAAGTTCTAACTGTTCCATTGGGTGACAGTCAGTGCTTTTAAAGTCTAGAAAAGTAAATTATAGATGGCATATACAATGGCACAATAAGTAGTTGGAACACAATTCTTAGCAATTACTCATGTTTTGTGTGGTTGAGTTTTGCTATATTCTGAGATATGGACCAAAGTGTCTGTCCAAGACACACTTTATGACCCCTGTAGGAAAATAAGACAGTGGATTTAGTGGACATCACTGCACAGGAACCTTTTTCCTAATCTAAGACAGACTTGTGATGAGGAATTCCTTTCTACCCACTGTTGATGTTTTGGTTGGATTTAACCTGGAACTTCTTGTAATTAACCCAGCAAGCTGACTAAACAAACCAACTAACTCAGTTTGAATTTTGAAATTTTAATTTAAAGTTAGTTTATTACATGTTTGTACCATATGATCTGAAATTGCTAGCCACCCAGTCAGTCATGAAGCCTTTGATCATTTCTAAAGGTTGTGGTTAGAAGTATTTGGAAAACTATATCTCAACAATCTTGACGGTTTAAGCTGAAAGCTGTTGAAATCTTTGAGATGTTTCACTCATATCTACAACTTAAAAGTTATAGAAGATTTACTAATACTAATAATTTAAAAATAGTTTCAAATCTTAACAAACTCTCAGGCAGTATGACATAGATAGGTGTCCAGTGATACATGTGTTCATTGATTGACAGTGTGCAGTGTTTTTAAAGTTCAGGAAAGGTGTATACTTTATAGATTTTCTTGATAACCACGTGCAGTCAATAGCTGGAACAAAATTATCTCTGCAATTCCACCAGGATTGAACAATTGGCTCTTTTACAATCTTTTAACTTTTTTACTAAAGTTACTAAGTGTTTACGCAGCACTTTTTAACGATTATCTTTACACCCAGACAACGCCCAAATCAAAGCCGTTTCCATTGCTCTTTCAATACTTTAATTGAAGGCCGTGGGCTAAACTGAAACTTGAGGAGGCTTGGCAAGAGTTTGGAGTTAATTCAAATCAATACCTGTGCTCGGTGCTGCTGCCTGGCCACATAAAAATAACATCTGTTTAACACTGTATCCAAAATAGAAACATGGTGTGTGTGACAAGGTTGTGTCAGGTAATAGGCCCATAAGAATATAAGAATGAGTGAGGAAATGGATTAAACTTTATGGGATCTTCTTGGGTTTGGATGGCAGTTGTCCGCACATGTTTGTGTTTGGGAACATTTTTGATGGTGCCAAAAGCTGGAGAACAGATGCCAAAGGAAACTTGAGACAACTTTCAACACTTTCTAAGTCAACATCTTCTGCCACAATGCATTCCTGTGTGCTTTTATGTTTGGAAATGTAGCCACAAAGAAAACAAAGATGTCATTTATTGTCAAAATTAATCTTAGGGTGTGACATTTAGCCTGTGATTATGTCATAATAGCACTTTGTGTGCTGTGTAGTGTTAAAATAAAGCACTAGTACATCTATTTAAAATTGAAATTTATTTTACATTATTAATAATCATTTGCCATTTTTACTTAAAGGTCTTATATTACACAGAATTGAGCTTTAAGCTATGTTATAATTCTGTTACCTTTGCTTTGTTTCATTCACACATGTTTGAGTAACTCTGCATTATTAGTCTGTCTTCTCCAAAGCTGTTCCACCTTGTGATGTCATGAAGGAGTAGTTTTCAAGTAAAAGGTAAAAACTACCTTTTAGCATTTGTTCAGTAGAGATTGCCATTTCCAGGGCTGAAATTATCCAAATGATTCTAGTGAAGATGTATGGAGTTTAAATACACAGTGAAGCACTTCCTGTATTACCATATGACATCACAAGTTGGAACAGAGTGTTTTCCGTTTAAGAGAAGAACTCAGCCTAAATATGCAGGATTTATGTGAATGAAACAAAACACAACTCCAACTGTGTTTTTGGTCAATAAACAACATTATAACTGATCAGAAAATAGCTTAATATGGGTCCTTTAAGACATATTTTACACAGTTTGTCCCTCTTCTGAGAAATAGTGGATTTCTACTGATTTATATACTTGACAACAATGTTTATGTAACTTTTTAACCTTTGTTAATCATCACCTATTTTCAGCTTAAACATGAACATGACAGTGTTTTGATTTCCAATAAGTTCAGTTCACAGCATGGTGGGTAGGCTATGTTGAGGCAGTGACCCGGAAATATTCCCACACGTGCAGGTTCTCCTATAATCATTACTTTAGCTCATGCACTCGTTCATTAGTCAGATGGATCAAGTGTATTACTATGTCACTTTTTTCCATTGTAGTTGATAATAGCTCTACTGTTCTATGGTATCTAGTGTCTGGCTTTTCAATATTTGGAATTTCGACATGACAAAAATCTATTGTTTGTAACTATGGCAAAACTCCATGTGCTCATAGCCCCGGGTGGTTCACTGAAACAGCCCTAGTCCAGCCCCTCCCTGCTCTCATTGGCTAGTGTAACAATTTACAGCCCACAGTGTGTGCATGGGATAGGTACAGTGGTGAGAGAGGAGAGTTGAGAAGGGGCGGAAAGTTTCGATCATCCTTTTGAGTTCGATGCCGGCATTGACAACAGGGTTAGAGGGCCAAAGACACTGGAAACCCTATAGCTGCTCTGGGAGTTGAAGTAGTTTTGTCGGATCACCTTTGTAGATCAGCGCTAACTGACAAATAGCTCCTCTCCACGCCTGTGTATGGATGTCACCATGTCCCAGGTAAGTCGAAGGTAAAGTCTTTGTCAGATTTATGTTTTTCACTGTTCTCTTTCTAAATTTTTTTTCTCTTCCTGACCAAAATAGTGAGTCAGAGTGCGTTTCAAAGCCTGCGGGCCAGGGCTGTTTTCAAGAGCAGGGGTTGTTTGGCCTTGTTTTGAGCGCATATTCCTTCATGTTTAGCAGCACATAATACTAGAGGGATAGAGTGACTAAATGTGAAGTTTCTGGGAATTTTTTAATAATTGTTATGCATGGAAAAGACGAGAAGTAGTTGGACCTTGGTTGAGCTATTCTTTGAGTCTTACACTTTTTAAATTGAATTTCTTGAAACTGCCATATGTATTCACAGTTTGTGTATAACTTAGCATAATATTTGCAATTTATATAACCTTGACCTAAAGATATACATACCATTCATTCCCTGATAAGATAGCAGATAAGGAACTCTTGTCTTGAAAGCTTCCAGTGTGTTGATTTATTGCTTTAACATGGCAATAAAATGTCTGAGCCTTACTTTTGAGTAGGTGGTTTCCCATACAACTTGTAACTCATTCACTCATAATACATAACATGCATCCACCCCCACTGGCTTTGATCAACAAGTGTGACAGTTTTATTATTACATTGGAAATAACTCATCTGTTTGGTATTCACATTTCTTATTATTCTCATCTATATTATCTGTCTGTATTTGAATATATCTGTTGTTAAAACCAGCTAGTATTTAGTACTTTCTTTAGTGTTTGGTACTTCTTACTACCACATAAGTTTTGAAAATTAACTCATCTGTTTGGTAGTCACATTGTTTATTATTTTGATTCATATTTCAATGTATATGTTGTTAAAACCATAGTAAACCAGCTTGTGTTTACTATCTAAAACTTGCAGTACTCTTTACTACCACATGATGTCTCTCTTCTAATGTCCTTGATCCAGATCTACCCAGCCAACTTGTCTACTTCTTGCTGGGGCATCAAATTAACTAATAATATCAATAGGGATAGCACGTGTAGCTCACATTTGGCTTTCTGAGGGTTTTGGCATATTTTCACAGCAGTTTTATTGACGTGGGCTGAGGATTTGAAAGCGAGTGAATTCTTGTGGTAGTGGGAAGGATACTGTTTTCCCTCAGAAGCCACATGCCAAGTGTGCCAAGAGGAAATGAATCTGGTGGAGCTTTCAATTGGACAACCGTCACCTTTTTCCTGTTGCTCAGTTGGCAAGTTAACTTGCAAAAATAAACATGATAGCTGTGTTTTAAAGGTGCAATGTGTATCTCTTCTGGTCAGAGTTCATCACCTGCTTGTCTCCATGAAGATGTGAATGCTTTGCCTAGAATGGTTCACAGTCTGGCATTTCGCTTATTTATCCATCAAGTTACAGGTCAGATCTGGTGAGAGGTGACCCCCCTGTTTACAATAATAATGCATTTTTGTGAGGTTTTAAGCAGTAAAAACAGCTGTAATTGAATAAATATAAGATAGATCAGTTTAATGACATACTGTGGAATATTTCAGGAAAAAAGTAACATTTCCATTAAGACAAGATGGTAGCGGATCCCATACCTGAAAAGTTAGATTTAGTTACTTTAGTTAAGACTGTATGTCTCCTGTCCTATACCTAGAAGACCTTTTAACTAAAAGCTAGTTTGTATTGGCATGATGTGTTCTGGACTATTTTTAAAATAAACACACATGCACAGAATTCTTACAAAATAACTTCAATGTAATAAGAGTCCATCAGCTGCTTTTCTCCATGTATATGTTATTGTTTTGGCTAGAATATTCCACAATATTAAACTCTGCCTACATGGAGACATAAAAATAATTATAATAAATAATATATTTTATTTATATAGTGCTTTTCAGGACACTCAGACACTTTATGAAACAAGTATTAAAACACTCAAAAGAGCAAGCTAGACATCCGATCTGTGAGAGGCGACCCCAGACGCAGTAATGATAATACATGTTTTCAAGGTATTTTAGACACCTATAATTGAGCAAATTCAAGGTTTATATACTTAAGACTGAAGTCTTATAGACTTAATACTTAGGGCAAAATCCATACTGTGAAACATTCCCTTTCAGCAGCTCAATAACATCTACATGAACGCAAGCAGGTGGCATACCCCCCACCAGAAAGGTTACACAGTACAGCTTTTAATGAACACCAACTATCTTGCCACCCCTGGATAACTGGATAGAAAAATACAGCTTATTCAAATCTAGTCGTATTACAGACTCCCATTGCATCGTCAATGCCATTAGCTTATATTTTTGCATTAAAAGTTCAAAAAATGTGCCTGCAATACACTAGATCACGCCTTACTTAATATGCGATGTGTAAGTTATGACAGCCCCTAGCTCCATTGTGCATATATTAACTGTAAATTTATGCTTACTGCTTTTTAATTATCTGATATAGACCTAGTATATGATTGCTTTACTCTGCCAGTCTGTCTCTCTTCATTTTCCACTAATATGGCTCATAGTGCGGTGTAATAAAATGCCCTTTAATTGTCGCCAGCGCGTGCCAGGCCGCTCTCCACTAATGCAGTGATGTGTGCAGCTGTGGATCAGGTAGTTTTCTCCTGTAATCAGATGACCAGTGGAGCCACAGTTGTAAATGGTTTTAGTCCAGGATCTTGAAGAGCCAGCACCAAGCCACCAATCGGTCACACTGGTGCCTCAGACAGGATTAAGAATAAATATGGTAGGAGTCCGCTCCGGGAGAAAGACAAAGCGCAATATCAGGCTCTGTGGGGCAGCTGAATTCGTGCTTTAAACCATCATTAAGGTCGATAAAAGACCAGAACCGAAAGGATTAGAAAGTGCTTTAGCTGGAAATAGACTGTGTGTGAGTGTAATTGTTTAATCTCACACTGACCTATTATTCCACAGTCAAATTTCTCTTCCTATGGCCAACTCCTAATGTCACTTCTCCGAGCCAATGCTGCACTTAAACTTCACTCATAGGTACTTTGAGACCAGACTGCTTATATAAGTGAAAAGGGCCCCATTATTACAACTAATGTTGCTGTTTCACATGTTTAACACACAATCCTGCATATTTAGGATGGATTATTTCCTCAAACAGAAAGACACTGTTCTACCTTGTGATGTTATGTGGTAATACAAGTGCTCCACTGCATTTTTAAACTCCGTACACCTTCACTAGAATAATTTGGATTATTTCAGACCTGGAATTGCCAATCTCTGCTGAACAAAAGGTAAAAGGGATCTGTTAACTTGAAAACTACTGCTTCATTATATCTCAAGGTGGAACCAAGCATTTTGAGCGTTGGAGATGTAGACAGACTAGTAATACAGGATTACTCAAATTTGTGAATGAAACAAAACACAACTCCAGGTATGTTTTTGATGAGGTAACAAACATTATAACATGGCTTAAAGTTCACAGTTCAATTTTGTGTAATATAGCAAATCCAGCTATTGGGACTTTTCAAATTATACATGTGATCTCATGCTCTCAGTTGACATTTGGCGGCCAAGAGACAGTTTTTCCAATTGACTTCATTGTATTTTCATAAGAAATATCTCAATGGTAAATTCACAAATGTTGAACTTGATCATTTCTCTTTGTGACTAGACACGAGAACGTATTATATTACAACTAAAGCCTGCATTTTAACAGTATTCATTTTATCTGTCCCCATCGGTATTAAATGTTAGTATGTCTATAAAATCTTATGTCACCGGACACCAGCAATATTTTTAGACATCAGAGGGGCAATGGTAGCCAAGCTGTCACCACCTAGTACCTCCGCTCAGTTTCATTTCTCTACAGCAAGTAGGTCAGGAATCAGAATACACTAGACGGTTTCCAAGAACCCCAGAAGTTGTAGATCGTGCACCAGCCAATCAGCGAAGAGCTGTGAAGCCATGACTGGGTCCCTTTTTTTGTACAGCACAACACTAAACAAAGTGGTCGAAATAGATGTAGATGAAGCCATACATTCTGTGTTGGCAACGATTCCCGAGATTGAAGATTTAAAGCCAGAACAAAGAGAATGTTTGGTGAATTTTATCAAGGGGAAATACGTTATTGCCCTTCTTCCTATGGGATTTGGCGCATTACATATGTCACGACCAAATACCTTGGTTAAATAAAAAAGTACAAGACTACTGTCGAGCGAACGAATCCTAATGCTGTGAGATCAGACGGTTTCCACGAAGTGAAACTGGCTGATGAGTCAGGCTAGGGAATGGAGCTATAAAGTATGTTTTCTTTAGTGACGATACCTCTCATGATATCATGTATTATTATTGACACTGAACAGTAAGAGTCAACAGTCATGTGGCTACTTGTTATTGTGTTTACATCCTCCATTTGCAATTATAGAGGTAATAGTGATTGAAGAAGCTGTTGTGTGTTTTACTACATTGTGCATGAATTAATTAAAACTGTATTGCCAAAAAATACATATTTCCTGTAACTGTGAATACAACTTACAGGCATTTCATAGTTCAATCCACAAGTGCAAGCAAAACAACTGGTTGGAGCTGAATACAAATCTGTAGGTATTGAGTAAGGTTTAAATCTTATGACAAACAATGCAGTATTGCAAGCCAGACAAAATTGCTACTAAAAAAAAGACTCTAAGTTTATCTCTTTTTGGAACACACATAGATTGGACTATTTACAACGTAGCAAGACAGACACCAAATCATTGTTTAGTTATGTCTTCTAAAATACTAGGAATAAATGTAATCATCCCAATATATTCTCTGTATTTTCAGATCTTCTAGGCTTTCCAATGTTCATTTCATGCATGCCGGCTATTTATACAATTTCCATGTCAATCTAATCTCCACATTTAGAGCTTGCAAATCTATCCCTGTCTGTGTATATTTTGGTCAGATGGAAAACATCTACACAAACACAGAAACACATACTAATTAGTCTATTTTAATTTCCAGTCTAATTATGCGTTACATCTCTCCTTCCCCCTTTTCAACGCTTCATTTTTGACACCAAGGGAACGCTGTTCAGATCCCACCCCGAGCGCCTCCCAGGCTCACACCCACTACTTTGTCTGAACTTCTTTAATATTTACAGTCTGGAGGATAAGCACCCGTGGGACCTCCCTTTTTTTTTGAATGACAGTAGAATTCAAAGCTAGCCCAGCGGGGGTTACGTGTTTGCAAATACACAAGGAGAGCACCGTAAGCAGATGGAACTTCAGTGATAGAAGCTAGCCAGGACATCAGTGTACATAGCACTCCCTGTCAACTTGCTGTCTCATTTCATTTGCAGACACGTCCCTCATTCAGCTCCACAGCTTAGCGCGCTACATGAGGTTGATGGGAGTGTTTCAAATCACTCAGGGTTCGGATCTGTCTTTGTGAGCAGCTCTCAAGTGTCCTTTACCCATCGCTTTGAAACTCTAGCACTGAAAAAAAGCCATTGTGAAAAGAGAAATGGTCACACAAGGAGAGGTGAAAGCGATCTAGGTACGCCGTGAATGAGCTGGGGTTGAGGACACATGACCTGTCTGTAAGGGCATTGGCTACCACTCTGTGCATTCTTGTGGCTCTGTTATGTGCTGATTGTAGCCCGGGCTCTCATCCCTCACACACATGCCCGGTCCGTTGCTCTGTTTTGTGTCGTTCTCTTCCAGTACTGGCCAAAGCTCCGGCTGTAGGTGGAGCTGGCTTTCCTGGAATTGTCAGGCAACTTTTCCTGTTGTGGTTGCTACCTCTGGTCCAATCTTTTTTGCCTATGACAGCTCAGCCTGCAGGATTACTGGCCTGGGAGGACCTGTGCCATCTGGATGCCCCTCTCTTATGATTTTCTGGGTTTTAGGGCGCATGCATATGTTATGATGGGTGTATTTTCATGAATCTGGAGAGAAGTTTGTGAACAGCAGAGATGTGGCGGCAGTGCAAAGGAGGGCGAAATCCATCGGTGGGTAAAGCTTGTATGAATGGACTGAGTAATGTACTTGGGGCAGTTAGCAGGAGCTCTTTGGCACAATATTACTTTACATAGCTTGGTGACTTCAGGGTATTTTATAACATAGACGATGACATCAGAGGATTAGACTTTGCATTGTATTGGGTTTACAAAGCTCTTTACACATTTGTATGTAGGACACTAGTGGAATTAGGTCTGAATAAGGTAACACATTTAGCAAAACATGTGAGACTTTTTCACGCAATCTTTATTTTGTATTATCAGAGAGAAAATCTAAAATAAAAATGGTAGTTGCGTGAACTATACTGAGATGTTAAGGTGTTCTTGTTACGTTGACCGTATGTGACCGTCAACATTTACAGAAAAGGAATTATTAAATGTCAATCAAATGTTCAGAAAGATTAAACCAGGATTAAATGGTGAAAGGATGGCTAATTTAAAACTAATTAATTAAAGAAACAGGACATAGGTGCATGTAAAATGTAATTATGTATTTGTTTTGGCTTTGAAATCTAGGGTGGAGTACCATAAGTATAAGTCATAAAAAAATTTATTTTTATGTACTCGCTGTACACTGTTCACAGTTTTGACAAACCCAATGGAATATGTCATGAATTTAATTAGGGATGCACTGATCCAGCTTTTTCAGTTCAGATACAGATTCCAGTACTATGGCTTTAAGTATCTGCCAATATCAACCAGTACTAGTCCAGGGGCCAAAAATAGACTTAATTTTCCTAAAAACAAAAAATATTGTCTGACAAAATGATGTAGCTCTTACTTATCCCTCAAGTAATTACAGAAGCACTTTGTATTAAAAAGATAAAAATCATGAGACTTTCTGGTCCAACTATGACAAGTAAATAGTCTCATTATATCAATTATATTTCCAGTCAGGATATTGACAAAACCAATATTTTGGAACCGATACCCGATCCAATAAATTGTCTTGCACCCGATACAAATATCTGTATCGGTGCATCCATAAGATAAATTGTGTCATTTTTATAGTTACACATTGTGAAACTATTAAAGCCATGCCAGATCAGTCATTTACACTGTCACTCCGTATTACATAACACAGCTCTGAACCCACACACACCTTTGAATCAGTGGCGTGGAATTAAACGGCCACAGGTGCATCACAGCCGGTCGCCACAGTAACCCGCTACTGTTCACTGACACAGCTAAATATCTGCGGGTATTCCAGTAAGAGCTGAAAAGAACTGACCAAAGTAGCCCTGAGATAATTACTTTAACCCTGTGACTTCTGAAAGGGGGCCCACACTGTACCGATAATGAGCGCTGGCTTCTTCACACTTAATGAGCGCGAGGTAGAAGGTTCACATGGAGCAGAGTGTCCGCTCACAGCTGTGGGTGTTCCAATGGCTCACAACAAAGGCTCAGTGTCTGCAAGAGTGTATTGCCCCAGCCATCAGCAAGCAGGCCAATATACTTCTGCTTGGCTGAGCTGTCCATCCTGCCGGAGAATACAGTACGCACAGGGACACATGGGGACAGGCTAGACACTGGAGAGTACTGCCAAATGGAAATCGTATCAGTGTAGCTTCTATGCTCATACAGGCTGTACTGTGCATAATTCTCAGACATTTTTTATCTAGTCTGGTTTGTATTTTGGTCTCATTATCATAATCAGATTTCGATGATATGCATATTTTTTACATAATATATTCAGTTAGAGAGTGGGAAGGACTTGCTGATTGTTATTCAAACTACGGCTGGGTAGTATGGCCAAAACGTAAAATCTTGATTTATTTGCATACTCTGGACGATTAGGATTTAAATCAATTTCAATCAAAGTCAGAGCAGGAACTATCAATCTTTCAAACAGGGGAAGCTCTGTACATTTTCACTCTTATTACATGCTGTTATTTAAGAAACTGTAGAGTGCCTTCAATTACATTTGTATAGATATATCTAACTGTAATTGCACGATAACCCTGTTTTGCAGGTGAGAAAGTCAGGAGTAAACTTGTTTCGTTATAATCCTTGATTTCATGATTTTGCAAAAAGAAAAAACAGAATTAATTGAGTTATTTCGATTGGTTGCACAGCCCTAATTCAAACTAGGAAATTAGGATGTACATATGAATAAAAGCATATTAGGACTGGGAGATATGACCAAAAAAATCAGATTTATTATTTTGTTTTAATTAATCACAATTTTAGTTTCAATTTTATTTTGTCTTAATAGAAATGTCAATGTTAATTTCCTGAATATAAACAGTACAAAAATGCAATTTAATTGCCAATTAACTCTCAGAATTTTAACATTCCTTCCTCCAAAGTCTGAACTCTGCTCCAAACATGCTTTTACTGACAGAGCATTAGCTGTCTCAATTAAAATTTGATGAATAGCACAGCCCTGTTGCAATGGCACCACTCTGCCACTAACTCAATTCACTTCAGTTCAACTTGCACTAAAAATCAAACAAGCACTACCTTTTATATTCTCCTCTTAGTTCATTCAATCAAATGTTCAGGTTGCCCCTTTAGCAGCTCTTCAAAGTGAAATGTCTTGTGTTCTTGTTTTCACAGATAGCTGCTCAGCTTCCGTGGATTTCGCTGTCAAGCCCGCTGAGTTTGGCCTGAAGATGGAAACACTGGAGTCGGAGCTGACCTGCCCAATTTGTCTGGAGCTGTTTGACGACCCGCTGCTGCTGCCCTGCGCACACAGCCTTTGTTTCAACTGTGCCCACCGCATCCTGGTCTCCCACTGCCCCCCCAGTGAGCCCATCCACTCCATCAGCGCCTTCCAGTGCCCCACCTGCCGCTATGTCATCACCCTCACCCGCCAGGGCCTAGACGGACTCAAGCGAAACGTGACCCTGCAAAACATCATTGACCGTTACCAGAAGGCCTCGCTGAGTGGACCCAACTCACCGAGCGAAACGCGCCGGGAACGCCCCACCACAGACTCTTACGCCAAGATGGCCGACAGGGTTCAATGTCAATTTTGCGAACAGGACCCTCCGCAGGATGCCGTCAAGACCTGCGTTACCTGCGAGGTTTCCTATTGCGAGGAGTGTCTCAAGGCCACGCACCCCAATAAGAAGCCTTTTACGGGCCATCGGTTGATCGAGCCGCTGCAGGACTCCCATCTGCGTGGGCTCATGTGTGTGGAGCACGAGGAGGAAAAGGTCAACATGTACTGTGTGACGGACGAGCAGCTGATCTGTGCACTGTGTAAGCTGGTGGGACGACACAGGGACCACCAGGTAGCAGCACTCGGTGACCGTTACGACAAACTCAAGGTAATAAGTGAAAAATGGTTATAAATTGGTATGCTGGCATGTCACGCTTTTTTGTATTCCAACAAACTTGTATCCAAAGAAGGTCTGCGCAGTTAAGTGTTATTGAATTGAAATGTGAATGCAATTAGCAAATCGCAAAGGCTGCAATTTTTGAAGTACCACAATTTCCGCACACAACCACATACTCTGTCTTATTCTGCATAAAAACGGCTAACCCTGCAGTTTAGATCTGTACAAACGTGAACATGAGTACGAAATGTGATTCTTGTATTAGTTTGTCAGATCATATCAGTATTTTGGTCAGTTCTTCTGGACATGTTTAAAATTTAAACCTCGAAAAGAATTCTGTTAAAAAATAAGCGCAAATCTAATCGCTATCATAACGCTCGCCAGAAAAAACACAAATACATATTTTTCACAAATCACTCAGTCCTAACTCAAAGTACTTTGAAGATAAGCAAAAGAGTTTAACAAAATGTTGGAAAAAATTAAGTATCTTTATTAGTGTCTGGCCCACATATTAGTAAATTAAGATGATGGACAATGGCCAACCAGTAAACGGCAAAATATAATGTATTTGAAATAATAAGTAGGGGTTTAACAATAACCAAAATATGGTGATTTTGTATCGTCAAAAGTCTCTCAATAATATCATGGACCATCATAATATATCGAATCACAAGTTTCTTTGCTTAAATTCATTGTTATGGTGCAGCAATAGCTAAAAAAAAACAGACTACATAGACCATGATCCTTTGCTCCTTGTTAGTCTAGACTACATGACGAAAGAGCAGTTCTAAGCACTTTTAAATCTTAGTTCTTTGAATTAAGTCTTGTCAAGGCATTTTAAGAGGAAAAAGTAGCATATTCACAGTTTCGTTAGCCTCGACAAAATATCGCAATAAATATCATACCATGAGATGTATATCGTGAAAATAACGTACCATGAGATTTAGATATCGTTACATCCCTAATAATAAGTATTAATTATTACTAATAGTATTTGTAATTATAGACTATGTAATTTATCTATTTATTTAAGTAAATATGGGATAACAGTCAAAAACTAAGGCTGTTTTCTGTTATAAATTGATTGAACTTTGTACTAATCCATGCAGTTGTTGTGTCCTCCGGCAAGACATTTCACCCTGATACATACTCGGTTGCTGGTTACGACTAGAAGAAAAATCTATGTAAAATAAATAAATAAACATAAAAATTACCCTGAGACTTGTTTACTGTGACAATTGAAAAGAAGCAAGTCGAATGGGAAATAAACATGAAAAGCCTGTTACAAACCAGATGCGCGCATTGTAATTATCAACAACCGCAATATCTAATTTTGTATAATTTAAGACCACATCAATAAGTGAAAGATTGCTGCGCATGTGTGCCTTATTAAAATGAAGCTCTGAATTGAGGGGTGCTGTTAACAAGAGAAGCTCTGAACAAAAGCATGAATGTTGCATGATAATTGGTACAGGCGCACATTATGTTATCTGCAAGTGAAGAATATTAATTATGAGGTTCAGAGGAGCTCTCCCTCTTGGTCAGCCTTAAATGACTCCCTTTGCGCAGCAGGCCCTCACAGTTTGAGTGGGATCTGGTGTCTCTCTCTGAGCAGATGGGTGACATCAATAAGGGATGACAAAATGCTATTAGGAAGAGTATATAACAAGGTAGTTGGAATTCAGACTCTTATTTTAAAATGTATGAGCTTCTGTCATTTACTCAGACTCTGTGCTGGCATTAAAGCCTCCAGTATTTCTCAATCGTATAGGCTACATTATTCAGCGTTTTTAAAATAATTGGACACCTTCACTTCAGTCTTTCAAGTTTAAAACACTGCTGGCATTGGAGTTTTGATCAGAAAGAGTCTGCTGATGAGAGTGTATCGACTTTAAAACAAAAGAGGCATTGTTCATTAGCACCTGATGACATCAGACAATGGGGTAAAGTGTTTTCAGCAAGAGCTATAAACCATAAATATTTAGGTTTACTGAAACATCATGAATGAAACAAAATATAACACCATGTTTTTTTGATGCAAACTGTATCACATGATTATAGGCTAAAAAGACAGTCCCACTTCAAAGCATAATTTGTTTTTTTGTGATGTTATTTTACTTTTTTTAATTTCATAGGTTAATTGAGAGAAGAAAAATAGAAATATGAATAATACATGGACATTTGATAAATGATAAATTACATTATGTTAATAACAATAATGAACAGATACATAAAGGAAGTTATTTTACTTTACCAATCACAAATATAGTCTTCAAATCAATTCCCAAAAGAAGTTGGGAGAAGCTTTTTTTGCCCCCACCCCCTTTTACAAAGCCATTAGCGCAATAATCATGCCTCTGCCAGACTCTTATAACAATAAGTCACATTATTCCAGACACAAAATCATCTCGGTAATGCACTGGTTCATTCATTGGGTTAGCAAAACATTTCATCTCCCAATTGTCATATATTTTTATAACTAACACCGCATTAACCTGCTGTACACTGCATGTATGCTAAATGTACTTGTGCATGTTATAATTACTAATAATGTATAGCTCTAATACATTATAGCTGCCCTTGGATTCTCTGGGGTGCATGGCATGAATACTGAAAGCATCCTTTTGTCCATTTGAATATGCACTGTCCATGCACGCCTCACAGGGGCTTATATAAACTGTATCACAAAAGCCACTTAGAGCCCCTCTGTACCTGTCCCATTATTTCACAACGCTTGGTCACCCTGGCACTGACGAACAGCTCTCCTTTAAAGGTAGGGTAGGCGAGAGAGGAGCCATCTTAACCCTTTTTCCTTTGTCCGATCATGCTGTCGCGGTGCAGATACGCCCCGGACGCTTTCTCTGTGTGGGGAGGGATGATTCTTACCAGGATGAAAACCAGGTGACCATTTCTTTACCTAATTCCTCACTTAGGGACTCCTGTTGGTAGGCCTGTCACGATAACACAATCTGAAGCACGATATATTAATGAAGAAATTATAGATGATAAGCGATAATACTGAAACAAATTTACACCACTATGCAATAACCCAAAAGCAGATTTAAACCAGAAAAACTATAGTATATGTGAAATATTCTTACAAAAAAGAATAAATAAAGAGCAGAATGAAACACTTTAGTACTTATTTTGCCTTTGCAATGAGTCATAGAAGTTATTAATTCAACCTTTAATGGCTTAAAGGTACACAACTGTATGCAGCTTTTTGGTTGGGGGTTCGTCACCGGCTTGTTTCTATGGATATGTCATTGCTCAGGCTGGAATGTTCCTCAATATGACATTAAACAGCTCTATCTTACATATTGGTGAATTTATAGCTCAAAAATACCTAGAAAAACAGGCATTCTGACTGTGAGCGGTTTTGCCTCTACACAGATCTGTCCTGTAACCTGGTCTAGTTTGGTCTCCATGAATATAGAAAGGTTTAATACCACACCGTGAAACATTCCAGACAAAGCAATAACATCTCCATGGAGAAAAGCATTTGACCATATAGCCAAAAAAATAACTACAAATTCCCCAGCAGTGCAAAAAAAACACTGAACAACGATGAATTCTGACCCCCCCCCCCAAATATTCCATCTGTTATGTATTGAAGCAGTAATTATCATGACAGGTCTAACAGTTGGTGAATATTATGATCCCCAAAAAGCTCTCCACACAACAGACTTGGTGAAAGTAACTATACACTGCACCATTGCACCATTGTATAGGCCCTTGCACACAGTAAGCTGAGCCACGCTATTGTAACTGTTATTAATATGCGGCATTGTGTAGTGAGGCTGCTAGATGCTCGTTATCTGATTCAGTATTTAATGAATGTGCTAACGCTATTCTCTCTCACTTAATAAGTTAATCTGTCAGGGCTGTGTTTACATTATGGGCCACACAAAAAGAGCTAAGATGAATAGAATCCATTTTACCTCATTAGAAATTGTTACGGCTATTATTGCTTTTCCCACTTGATCTCGCATTCAGTCTGCAGCAGCTTACATTGCAGTAATAGGCATCTCCTTTCATGTATTATGTTACTAGAAGATGTTAAATGGGAATAAATAAATAGAGAAAAGTGGCTGAAAGTGGAATTGTTCTTTTATGGCTTATAGGACAGGACACAGATGGTGCGAATTAGTGTTTGGAGTTGCTGGTTTGTGACAAAGAATATGGTTAGCCAAGGAAAAGTGCTATTTGGCGTGGTCTGAACTGGAAAATTAGTACTTGATAAACTGGGGAAATAAAGACAGCATGCAATTTTATGAACTATGTAATAATATTTTTATGTTTGTATTAGTACATTTAAATTGTTTTTGGCAGATGAAATATTTTGACTTCTGTATTCAGTTCAGTCAATGTTGTGCTTATCGTCTTCCTGCTCACTGGGATTTCTACAGCAAGTTTATCTTCTAATGCAGTTTTACACCTAATGCCCTTCCTTTACATCTCATTGGGAACATCACAATTGCACAAAAGGGACCCCCACCAGAACTAATGCTTCTATTAAATGTCCATCAAAGTTGTTGACCAGAATTTGAAGTTTTGATATTATTCGCTTAACCATAGCACTGAAGTTGGTTGAGTTTTTTGTAAAGTAACAGAGTTTACACAAAAAATACTTTATATAAAACCATTGTGGTTGCCAATACTTTATTGACGTCAAGAAATCTCGTCTGATACTCTAACTAGATAAATAGACTATATTTTTTATTTTCTTTTGATCAGTTGCTCAATGTTATTTTCAAAGACGGCTACAATAGTCCAGGTTGCAGATCCATTAGTGCCTGTAGACGTCTCAAGGACCCAGTATGATAAAAATGACTGATTCTCTATTTTATTCATTGATTCATACAATTAAAGACTTAGAGGTGCATTGTGTAACTTTTATTTGTGGAGGGTTTGTCAAATGCTTTTCTCCATAGAGATATTATTGGTTGGTTGGAATGTTTCACCATATGGTACTAAACCTTTCATGAAAACCAAATAAGGCTCACCACCAAGTTACAGGTCAGATCTGTGGAGAGGCAACCTCGCTTACAATTCAGAATGTACTTTTCTCTGTATTTTTGAGCTCTACCTGTAATTGCATACATGTAAAGTTAACCTGTTTATTGTCATACTGTGGAATATTTCAGGCAGAGCAATGAAAAATCCATCGAAACAAGCAAATGACGAACCCCCAATCAAAACGTTACATAGTGCACCTTTAAAGGTTTTTAAGTAAATGTCTCCAAGGCATAAATGTGCAAATATATTTTCAAAACCATTATAATGTGAGCTAATAATAATATAACTGCATGTTCAACCTTTTTATAAAATACAAAAAATATGAGGAAGTACTAGCTAATATAAAATGTATTTATATAGGCACTAAGACCAACTTTTGCTCCAAAACGAAAAAGTAATAAAACAGGTGAAGGGAATTGAGTTGAGCATTGTGATTTTATAAGGTTTATGCACTTTAAATTTCACAGCTCGCAGAATATGACTTATTTATCTACTGAATATGGTGCTGAAAGCCATTCTGGACAAAACACAGAGGGAATTCCCCAACTTACAAAACCCCAAAGAATGAATGAAAATATGAACAAAGAACAGTTTTATATTGCTGGCATTGTGCTGTATTCCACTAATGGAGGTGTTTTCCTAAAAGGATTTGGAGCTGACGAGGGGAAAGACAAGCAGCTTCCTTTGATATGGAAAAGTTTATGGCCCCACACCTTTGCTTTGGCCACTCTCTCTTCCTTCCTCACCCGGTCTGGACGGGTCACTGTCAGGACCTGGAATTTGATCCTGTGTCCGAGTTTGGAATTTTATCAGTTGTCAAAGGTTACACGTCATCCTGTCACCACCTCCACTACTGCGCCACAAAAAAGGCTGTTACATAGACAGGAAATATAGTTAGGTAAGCTGGTTTAGATGCTCTCAGGCAGTATGTGTCCAGCCAAAAATGGCAGAAAGTTTGAGTAGTTATATAGAATACCATACCAAGTTTAAGCACTTTAAAAACTTTACAGCTGGCCAAGTGCTGTACACAAATATTGAATAGACAAGCACAATCGCAGTACAAGAAAATACACAATATAAACATAATACAACTACTAAAAAACATAGAAAACAATAAGATATGCTACAACAAAAAAATGTGGTAATGTTGAAATTCAATTATGAAAGGTTCGATATTACACAAAAATTATATTTGTGAGCTTTTAGTCATGTTACAATGTTACTACCTCTTCAAAAACATACCTGGAATTGTGTTTTGTTTCATTAACACATGTCTGAGTAACCCTCTGTTATTATTCTGTCTACGTCTCCATAGATCAAAATGCTTTGTTCCACATTGTGATGTCATGAAGCAGTAGTTTTCAAGTTAACCTTTACCTTTTGTACAGTAGAGAATGGTAAATTCAAGGCTGAAATTATTGAAATGATTCTAGTGAAGGTGTATGGAGTTTAAAAACGCAGGGGAGCACTTCCTGTGTTACCATATGACATCAAACGGCAGAACAGTGTTTCCATTTGAAAGAAGAACTGAGCCTAAATATACAGGGTTTGTGTGTTAAACATGTGTGAATGAAACAAAACTAAACTCCAGGTATGTTTTTGCTGAGGAAACATCATTACAACATAGAACAGAATATAGTATAATATGTCCCTTTAAAAACTCAATACAATTTTTTCTGTGCAGGCAAAAAAAAAAAAAAAAGGTTGACAAATTTCACAGGGCGCTACCCTTCCCTTAAATTAACAATAACAATTACAACACATAATCACTCGTAAACTCATTCCAATTATTTCTGCCTGTTTTCCATGGCATATAGTTATCACCAATTAAACCTTGGTTAAAATTTGAAATCTGATTAGAAGTGTAATTCATGTCTACCGTGGGACATAGTGATCGTGCTGCCCAATTACAGCCTGAGATTACGTTTGTAACAGAAGCCTTTGATGTGACTCAGTGATTAGCACAGTTGGGCTTTAGTTGTCCAAATCAGAGGCAGATGCTCCGCTAAGCTTCGCGGCCTTAGTCTCAACAATCATGGGATCTTTGGCACACGGTGAGCACTGGGGGTCCCTTCACTCATCGCCAACCAAATGTAATCAGTCCAATTCCAGTAGCCCTACTGTGTTAGCGGTGGTGAATGAAGTACTTGATTTTGTTACTTAAAGGTGCACTGTGTAACTTTCTGGGTGAATGGTCTGTCACTATGGAGATGTCGTTGCTTTGTCTGGAATTTTTCACAGTATGATATTAAACAGACAAACACTAAGCCAGTTTATAGGTCTGATTTGTGGAGAGGTGGGTCCACTTACAGTAGAATGCATACTTTTCCAGGTATTGTTTTATTGTAAAAACACCTATAATTAAATAATATGCAAGTTTAATGCCATACTGTAGTACATTCCACATTCCAGGGAAAGCAATCTACCAAGCATAGACACACCCAGGCGCTGTCTTACATGGAAAGTACAGATACCAAAGCAAAGAAATACTCAAGTAAAAGTATCACATGAAAAAATCTGCTTAAGTTAAAGTATTAAAGTACCCATTTAAAAAGACTTCAAGAGTATACAGTACAAGTATTTGACGCATATTTTCTGATCTATTAAAGCTTTAAATGTTGTGACAGTTTTCTTTGTATATTTTTGTTTGTGTTGAAAATAAACCCCTCAGACTTTTCAGTAGGTCTCAAACAATAATAAAATACTTTTATACTTTTACTTTTCCGTCTTGTTCAAAAAATGTAGTGGTGTAAAAAGTGTGGATACCTGCTGTCAGATGTAGTGAAGTAAAAGTAGAAAGTATTGACCTGAAAATGTATTTAAGTATGCCTAAATTTTATACTTAAGTGCAATACTTTACTACTTTTATTTTGTTATGTTCCACCACTGCCGCCGTGTATGTGTGTGTTTGTGTCTGTGTGTGTGCTCCCTCCTCTTTTGTACAGTAATGTTCCTTCTCACTTAACTTGCCCCTACGATTTACTGCGGCCGTTTGCGTTTTGATGGGGAGACAGTGTGTAATGAAATATTCCTTTTCAATTTTGTTTTCACAGCAAGCCCTGGATTCCAATCTGAGCAATCTAATCAAGAGGACCAGCGAATTGGAAACGCTGATGGGCAAACTTATCCAAACCTGCCAGCACGTGGAGGTGAGGCTGTTAATCTGTCCGAGCTCAGATAAAGAGCTCTTGACTCTGTGGACAATAAGAAGTCATTATTAAATTATTAACATTGATAGATTATTGTTTTTTCTCTACGTCAACACATTTTTGTTCTCATTAGTCAATATATTAATAATTTATGTAGTGTACTACTCACAAGAAAATACGTAAGTAAGTGAGTCTATTAAAGTCTACCTACACAATAACATTTTCGTTGTTTGAAAGAGACGAAATAATTTGGTCCAACTGTTATATTATATCTGTTACTCTGACTTTTGATTTTATCACTATGAACAGTTTTTGTTTCAGTTTCAAGATTTTGGTTTGGTTTGATACTTTTGTTTAACTGGTGAACTATTAAAGCACAACCTTTTAATTTGGCATAATTTAGGCATTGAACTAATAAATGTTTTATTCAGTTATGGCTCTATGGGGCACGTTTTATAAGCTAAGATAGTTTCTGAGGACATCCGTTTTACAAGACTTTCATAGAGTAAATGTATGAACTATTTTTAAATGCTATATAAAAATTGTAAATAAATAAGTAAATACAAATCCAAATAGGGCAAGAAGGTTCCGGGTTTGCTTTCTGGGTGGCTTGGACCTTTCTTTGTGGAGTTTTCATGTTCTCCCTGTGTCTGGGCGGGTTTCCTCCAGTCACCCCAGTTTCCCCATAAACCACCATGCACGATAGGTAAAATCCTCCAGCTGAGATAGTTCTGACCACACCTAGCAACAAGACCTTGGTGCTCAGAGCCCTGATGCCTGAGCAGTATTGAAGGATGAGGCAAATGCAGAGGACAAATTTCCCTACGGGGACAGTAAAGTGCACCTTAAACTTAACTTAAAATCATGGCGAAGCATACACCTTCCTTACTTGACTTTTTAACAATACAATTGTGTTTTTGCCCAATTCCCAAAACCAAATAAATTGTTTGGGTTACTTCAGGACTCAAGTCTAAAATCCTAAGCCAGACCCATAAAGAAAAAAATAAGTGTTTTTATTGCTCTCAAATGATTGGGATAAAAATGTCCAACTACTTCCCTACACAAAATAGCGGGGAGAAGTAATAAATAATGCTGTTTTCACTATCCCCAGAAGCAACCACCATACATAAAACATACAGATAAAAATGCAAATGCCAATATTATTACTGTCTACAGTCGGGGGTTGCTTTAAATACACCACAAACCCCATGTGTACTGACTCTCAAATATTATATTGTTATCATCTCCTGCATTAGTGTTTAATCTCACTGGCCTTTGCTTAACATATACTTTATGAAGTCAGGGGACGATTGCGTTGGTATAATTAAGTGAAATGAATCGATCAGGGCTAGATTGCTGTACTCAGCCTGGCCAGTCAGAAAAGACAGCATATGAATTATCAGCTCCATACTGCAGTTATCCTGTCATATGGAGCTTTATTACGTATTGATTAATTGCGCAGTCAGTAATGCAGTCTACGCTAAAATTATGTCAGCCATGGACGCGTTGCAGCATAATATATTGAGGTGGCGAGTAAATTACTAACCCTTTACATTACCACTCAGACCTTATATCTTTTCATAGATTATTTTTTTATGTGCCCCTTATGTCTTTTATTTATATGTGCTCTAGGTAAATGCAACAAGACAGGAAAACAAGCTGCTGGAGGAGTGTGACCTGCTGATTAATATCGTACAACAGAGAAGACAAATTATAGCCAGCAAGATAAAAGAAGGCAAGGTATTGTTTATAACCCCTCTGTTGTATGAATGAGAATCCTCTGTTTATTTCTATGACATTCAGCGGCTGCTTGTGAAATGTATTATAGATGAAGGCCACATAATATAGAAATCTGGCATATTTGACTTTAAATAGGCGAGTAATGAATGCACTGAAAAGGTTGAATGGGTTGTAGGGATGTGTTTGAAAATATGTTCTTGCTACTTGTGCTTTATGAGTGATTGTGTTTGAGGCTTGAGATGAGTTGAACACTGACAATGGCCACTCAGGCTTGACAATTGTGGGATCTTGTGAGCTTTAAGCCATGTTATAATGCTCTTACCTCATCAAAAACATACCTGGAGTTGTGTTTCATTTCATTCACACGTTTTAGTTATCCTTCCTTTATTATTAGTCTCTCTACATCGTGTCATGAAGCGATCATTTTCAAGTTAGAAAATTATCCAAATGATTCTAGTGAAGGTGTATGGAGTTCAACAACACAGTGGAGCAGTTTCTGTATTACTACATGACATCACAAGGTTGAACAATGTGTTTCCGTTTGAGAGAAGAACTCAACCTAAATATGCATTGTGTGTTAAACGTGTGAATGAAACAAAACACAACTCCAGGTATCTTTTTGATGAGGAAACATTATAACATAGATTTAAAAAAAAATAGTATAGTATGGGCCCTTAACAGACACTTGCCTAACTATTCAGTGTTCATTAATTTCCTTTTATTTGGTCAGACATGACTTAAGAACAGTATGGTCACTAAAACTGGGAACAAAGATGCATTCTGTCCAAAGTAGGCTGCTGTCGTATTTTGGTCCAGGTTTTATCCTGGTTCAGTCTTAATTTAGACTTGCTTTGGTCCTGGTTTAGTCATAGTGCAGATTTTGTCACTGCTTTGAACCATAATGTGTTTGGTGGGATAAAAAAAAAAAGTAAGATGAATGTGTTGAGTTTTCAATGTTCCACTTTGTAATGACTAGAAAAATGGGTCAAGGAAATACTAAAGCTATTCTGTGAGCATAGATGGTATAAAGAAGTGGACTAAAGGAGTGTGACGTCACCCACCCCACCATTCAGCTTGAGTCAAAAGAAGCTCACAATGCTAGCAGATATTGGGATGAATTTGGAGCCAAGGAACTTATTTATGGACAAAATTGCAAAATAAAAACACTGAGATCATGTACTAGTAGAGCAGGTTAATACAAACATTTTAAGACCAAAATGATGAGGTGCACAGCAGCAGTTACAGAGACAGGGGTGACAATTTTTCAGTGTAAAGTGTAATTGGAGTCGATGGAGCAGGAAGCGCCCCCCATGTTCACTTCCTATTCGGAACACATTGGCTAGCGGGTTAGCTATGTTCATTTATATATACAGTCTACGCCTGGGTGGTTTGGTATTAAAATTTCTAATAGCTGTTTTGTCATATTTTTTGCCTTGTCTGTTTATGTAATGTCTTTAAACTATTACTTCATGCTTCGGGCAAAACAGTTGTACCTAATTCATCTTATTTCCACTCCATTTACAACACAACTGACGCAAATTTAGGTTTACATACTTTTACTAACATTTCAAAAACAGTGACACACTTGCTGCTGTATAATTATAGACTTGTGCAAGCTGTGTTAGTTCATCGCATCTTAGCTCACAAAAAGGATGCTCTCTGATCTCGTGCTTTTCCAAATCTAGTGTGTGCCAACATCCCCTTAGGTTTGCATATATTATGAGTTTTTCAGTGATATGCCACACGCCGCTTCAGACTTTACTGGGTCGCTTTTATCTTCTGCTGCCACTAAATCATTACTAATATCTCTGAAGTATTTCTGGCACTTTATCAGCGGTGTACATTTTTGTGCCAGGGCTCATGAATCATTGCACATCTCCTATATGTCGTTAGAGGGGCAATGTGCTGTTCACTTTGGGAGTTGCCTTCATATTCTTTGGGAGAGGGAGTTTTGTTTTCTAGCAGAGCATCATCATGTTAATAATATGGGTAACAAAATGATAGGAGAAGATTTTGTTAATATAGAATAGGCAGTATCAGCTAAAACTAGAGGCTAAATACCACTACCAACATCCAAATTACTACTCTCTATCGATTGTTCAGTATATTCATAATGTTTTGTGATACATTCTGCACAGTTGTTTGTTACTATACAACACAGCATGCTAATACTGTGTAGATGTTATTCTACAGTGTTCCATTTATTTACAGTCTTCATACTATTGTATCCTAATTCTATGTAATCATTGTAACATTTGAATTTATGGATGACATATTTAGGGCTAACAAATAAATATTACTTAACAAGTGGTAATAATTTAGTTACCATTGTATGTACCTTTACCATGCTATTACCATTCTATTAGTATTACCATGCTGTAAAGTAAAGTGTTGCTACTGTATTAATCATTGCAAAATCTAAAAGAAAAAAAATAATTATAGAAAGCTAGAAAACCATTTTAAAATAAATGAGATTCCTCATCAAGTGCTTTGAGTGCTTTGTTATAATTAAAATTTAACAACAACATTAACATAACTTAATTTCCTATCTAATTGCACAGGTTAAGTTGTGATTAAGAATGAATAGCTGCTTGATAATCAATGCTTACTGTCTTGTGTTGTTTTGGTCAGTCTATGCGTCTGAGAAAACTGGCCCAGCAGATAGCCAGCTGTAAGCAGTGCATTGAAAGGTCCTCGTCTCTCATCACTCAGGCTGACCAGACCCTGAAGGAGACGGATCACGCTCGCTTCCTGCAGACCGCCAAAAGCATCTGTGAGAGGTGAGAAAACAGGCGCCGCGTGACTCCCACCAAATCCCCATACTGACGGAAGGACGCTAACGGATGCTTTGTTCTGCTTTGGTGTTACAGAGTCTCTATGGCAACAGCGTCCTCCCAAATCCTTCTGCCAGAAATGAACTTGAATGATAGCTTTGATACCTTCGCTTTGGATTTCACAAGGGAGAAGAAGATGTTGGAAAGTTTGGATTACCTCACAGGTGAATTACTGTGTGATGCTGAAACACTGAAATTATAAATAAAACCAGATGTTGAAATCTTCACAATTTTCTCCAAAACACTCTGGATTCATTTTGAATCACATGGAAGCAGCACAGCTTTCAGAAAGTTAAGTCACAGAAGGTTGTTCAAGGTCCAAAACAGCATGCGCAGAATTTTTAAATGGCTAATAGAGCTTGGGATCGAACATCAAAAAATGTCAAGATGCATTAGCAGAACAATATAGAGCAATGGAAATACCCAGTATGTAGCTTTTACTTACCGATAAATGTACACACTGTAGTATCAGAATAGTTTTGAATGAAAGCTAAAATATTTATCGTCTTAAAGGTGCATTGTGTAACTTTTCTGGTGGAGAATCCGTCACATTATTTTCTCCATGGAGACAGCCATAATGCCTGTTTTTCTAAGTATTTTTCAGCATTAAACCCACCAATAATTTAACAACTGTGAGGTAGAACTGTTCACTCTCACACTGTGGAACATTTTAGGCAGTGCAATGACATATCTGTAGAAACAAGAAGGTGACGGACCCCCTACAGAAAAGTTACATGGCGCACATTTAAAATCTCCATTGGTTTAATGAGGGTAACTGAAAATTTCTTGACATGTGATGACACAAAAAATTGTAATATTTTGTCCCTTGACTGACCTCTAGTGGATGTTATTACTAGTGTTGTATATTATGTCTCAATACAAAAAAGAAAAAAAAAAAACAACAACAAAAAAATAAACTATAGTTGACATGCTCCAGGACCACAGAAAAACCTAATAATTTCTAACCTTTCCTTACAAGTGCCAATTATATTGCCAACAAACAAACCCCTTTTGGCAGGTAGCGTAAAGGCAGGGATAGCAGGATATTTGAACTGGCAGTTTAATAGCTATGAAACTGAGCGCCAACTGTGATTATGTTGTACTGAATGGGAGTGCAGTGTATTTGTGATGGCTCCTTGTTTTGTAGCTCTCGGTGGATTGCCATGGGGTACTGCTTATTCTTTGTACTCGTGTATGCAGACTGGATTCGACATTGATTACCAACACAGGACAACATTTGTTTCTGTTTTCTCTCTGCAGCTCCAAATCCGCCCCAAATCCGCGAGGAATTATGTACAGCCTCCTTTGACACCATCACAGTTCACTGGACTTCAGATGATGAGTTCGCTGTTGTTTCCTATGAACTTCAATACACGATTTTCACCAACCAATCAAACGTTGTTAGTAAGTACAAACAGAATTTGTTGTAAAAAATCAGACTGAATCAAATGAGGAGATTTTTAATTTCGACTGTTTTGTGACTTTGAGTGGCCTTTCAAGGCTTTTGTCTTTAATGAGTTAGGATTATCTAAAAGAGATAAAGGAAATGATAAGATTCAATTCATGTGGTGAATATTGTTTTTAAGTAGAGACAGCTTGATGGAGGAAATTCTTCCAAAAAGGCCCTAGCTTGTTCAGTCAGGCAATTTATTTCCATCTGCTTCATTCCTCAAGCATACTTCAATGAGTGCCACTAAGCTGCTATAGATTGAAACAGGCCGTACAATTAGACGGGATTGTGTCTCTTCGTCATCTGAATACTGAACAAGGTCCCCGCTCAGCAAGAGGTTTAATTATAATTTGACTTGTTCCAGGCTGTGATTTCTGTGTTTTCTTTGACTGCAGGTCTGTGTAACTCGGCTGATAGCTGGATGATAGTGCCGAACATCAAGCAAAACCACTACACTGTGCATGGTCTCCAGTGTGGCACCAAGTATATTTTCATAGTGAAGGCTATCAACCAGGCTGGAAACCGCAACAGTGAGCCAGTCAAACTAAAGACTAACAGTAAGTGTCATGTTGTACAGCTTTCTCTCTATTGTTTTGGCATTTGAATTTAACAATATTTTATTATTGTTTTTTTTTTTGTTTTTTTTTCACAAGTAAGGAGTATCTATTTTTTTTTAAAGGTCAAAATTAACTTTTGTAAGCTTTAAGTCATGTTGTGTTCTGTTTCAATCACACGTTTGAGAGAGAAGAACACAGCCTAGATATGCAGGCTTAATGTGTTAGACATGTGAATGAAACAAAACCAGGCATTTCTGTGATGAGGAAACAACACCATAATAGAGATAAGGAAAATATGGCAATATCTCAATATTTCTTTAGAGAGAGAAAGATAGAAAGAGAGGAATACACTTTATGATCCCAAGGGAAATTCAAGTTTTGCTGCAGCAACATTTACACTGTTGAATATGAGAACTGGTCAGGTCAGCAGATCTGTGTAATAACATTTTGAGGAGAGGAAGAGTCAAAAGTGTCCTTGTGTCCTGTGACATCACAGCAGTGTCCAGGGGGAACCAGGTGAACTCCACTCTGGTATTTTGATTGGTGATGAAATGATTAATTCCCTCAAAGTGTTTCTTTTGGAAGATCTTCTGACACATTTACTGACACATATGGTGTAAAAAACCTGTAGCATCTCAAATGTCCATAGCTAGCTCCTGTGCTGGCCTGCTGCGTGGTCTCCATGGATATAGGATAAACAAACAAACAACAAACAAGAACAAAAAAAAAGCTAAATTCACGAAATCCAACATTCCCTTACATGTGTCATTTGAAGTGCACATGCTTCACTTCTTAGTTGGTTAAATCCCATGATATGATGTTAAAAATTGAGCTCAAAAAACAAAAAGCTCTGTGTGTGAACCAGGTAGCCACAACATCAGCCAACACCTCTATTGCCATGGGAGATTTTTGATTTTTGTTATTTTTTTAGGTCAGCCTTTCAAGTTGGACCCGAGAACAGCGCACCGAAAGCTGAGAATCTCCCATGATAGTCTGACAGTTGAAAGAGATGAAACCTCCTCCAAGAAGAGCCACAGTCAGGACCGCTTCAACAGTCACAGCAGCTATGGAGTAACAGGAAACGTTTACATTGACAGCGGTCGTCATTACTGGGAGGCTTTAATAGGAGGAAGCACATGGTGAGCCTATTTCGCTCCTTAGTTCATTCTGTCATTGGTTAGGACTTTACATGGACATTTTCTGTTTATTTAGGTTTGCTGTGGGAATTGCCTACAAGTCAGCCCCTAGACATGAGTGGGTTGGGAAGAACTCGTCCTCTTGGGTACTGTCTCGCTGTAACAACTCATGGGTGGTGCGTCACAACTGTAAGGAGATGCCCATTGAACCATCCCCACACCTGCGACGCCTGGGGGTCCTGCTGGATTATGACTCTGGATGTCTGTCGTTCTATGATGCCGTGGCCTCTCAGCACTTGTATACGTTTGACATCGCTTTCGCCCAGCCCGTGTGCCCTGTCTTTAATGTGTGGAACAGATGTTTAACTGTCCTCTCTGGGCTGCCAATTCCTGACTATTTGGACGGCATAGACTACAACTGAAACTTCTACTTTTTGTGCTCTAAGACAGCACAGTGTCTGCACTCGTGACTATAAAAAAAACAAGATGTTTGAATAAATAATCAGGTTCATCTCAAGAAATGTTAAAATGAAATTATGTACAATACTTTTAACATATATGGTTGTAGATGTATTTTATTTGCACTTTTATGTACTTTTGCCATAGTTTTCAATAAGGATGTTTGTTAAATTTCAAGCATGCACTTGCTCTACTTTGAAAGGGTTGTATTAAAGGCTAATTTAAAATGTGTAAAACATTTTTTTTAAGCCATGGCACTTTAAGGTAACACAACCTGTTATAATAAAGTAAAATCATTCAAATAATTACATATTTCAGTGATTTACTAAAATTGAAAATGCTCTGTAACCATTTTTCTAATTTTCCCATAATATTTTGGCTCCCTGTAGCTATCTACATCTTTCATTATGCATCACAAATTTTTTTCTAATTATGACAATAAAATTCAATATGTTATGTTCATTGTGTTTTGTATTATTGGTGATTTCAAAATAACACAAATATACTCGTATTTCATAGTTCCTCCAGAAAGCCCAGTCTAAAATAACACACCCAGATATAACCTATATGACATGATTCACTCTGACATCTCTTTTTGTACTTGTCTAACACGGCTTGAATTTTGCAGCGTCTCCTTTCAACTAAAGAAGAGAGAGGGAGAAAAAAAACACATGAACTCTGAGTGACCTGTGTATCAGACTCCCCGCAGACAGGCAGCTGTATTGTAGACTATCAACTGCTTTAGGGAATCTGAAGATTTTAAGCCCAAGTTATTTGTAAAACACAAATGCAAGATTAAAAATGAATGAAAGAATGTCAGAGACATTCACATCATGGCTCCACCTACTGGACCTGTAGTCATGTGTAGTTTAATGGATAACTCCACTGGGTGACCTGATGGGTACAGTAGATGGAACTATTAAATCCATTGATGATCCTGTTTGCAAGGCCTTTTATTTAGCTCTCAGATATTAACTTACAATATTTAGGTTATTTTAGGTAAATTAGTCTATGGCCCATGGTCATCAAAGTGGGCCTGTAAGAAGGTCTACTTACTTCATGATCCACCACAGGATCATATATTTTTCTTTTGTCAAAGCCAGTGTAAGTGACTCGAATAAGTTTGTATGAGAAAACATAGTCAGAATAATGTATAATAATGTTTATAATGGGTCAACGTGAGATAGTGAAATTTAAAGTATGACTGGACCGCCCTCCCCCTGTGGCTCTGTCACGAGACTCCGCCCACAATCCCGGAACAGGAAGTATCTGAGCCGTGCTGACGTTGGTGCTGTCCAAAGTGATGATGGCGTCCATAGAGCAGTCCCTCCTGGATCTGACAGATAAAGAAACCCGGGAGAAGCTGTCGTTGTGGGACCGCCGCACGGACGCCATGGCCCCTCTGACGGAGCGGCAGATGGACTCTGTGCTGGAGCTGCGAGCCGCCGCAGAGGCGCTGCCTGTCCCCTCTGAGGTGAGATGCTAAGGCTAGTTAGCCTGCTGCTAACTTACTAGACTGTGAGTCTGTGTTGATATTATAAATATAATAATAGTGCCACCTTTAACTTGCATTGTAACTGTTATGGAAAAAAGAAATATGCCATCGCTCTGTTTCATAATGTGCATGGTGGGACGCTGTAAGTGTCATTCCGCCACGTCAAGTGTTCAAACAAATGAGCTGTCAGTGTTGTGTTTTGTAGCTCCCCATTGAAGACTTGTGCAGCCTGTCGTCCCGATCCTTACAGTCCTTTAGTGCCACAGTGCCCGCGTCCACAGAGGACGTGCTGCTCAAGGGCTTTCAGATGCTGGACATGGAGAATGACAGGATAGAAACCGCGCAGCAGGTGAGCGCACGTAATGTCATGTAATATCTGCACAGTACACCTCTGGTCAAAAACAGTGATGTTGACATCATGAGGCTTGCATGTTTTGCAGTTTTTTGCCTGGTTTGCCAAGTTACAAGCCAGCATGGACCAAGATGATATCGCAAAATACAGGTGCTTGACTTTACTGATACGTAATAAGAGATATTGTGCCTTTTTAAGCTAGGGATAATGTTAGCTAACATTGCTTTGTAGATACATAGGAATACTTCTTCTAAATATACATTTTTATGACAATGTTTGAAAATCTTAAAGTGCTATGAAGTATAGCAGCCTCTTAAAAACAAACTATGTATTTTAACCTCAGGAAAACAAGGGATGATCTATATTGCTACCAAGAGCAATGTGATGCTATTCTTAAAGATGTTAGTGCTGCGTTAGACCAGCTGGACTCACTTCAGAAACAGTACCTTTTTGTGTCTAACAAGACCGGTACTCTCCACGAGGCCTGTGAACAACTCCTCAAAGAGCAGGTAAGCTGCTACCTTAATAAGAGGATGGTTATAAGGACAAGGCATCATGTAATACTGGGTTGTGTTTCTGTCCATAGTCTGAGCTTGTTGACCTGGCTGAGAACATTCAACAGAAGCTGTCATATTTTAATGAGTTAGAAAACATAAACACAGTAAGTCTGCCAATAACAATTTGTTTGTTGGTTAAGCAGTTACTTTTGCTTGTAAAATTGACCTTTTATTTTTCAGTTGCATTTTCAAAGAAAACTCTGTGTTGCAGAAAAATAAAATATTATATAGTTTCACTAATTGCGTAATTTTTATTTTTATTTTTTTTCTAGATTTACTGTCTGGCTAATGATTCACAAAGGCCAAATTAACATTCACACATTTTTGTAAATCTGTTAAATGCAGAATTAAATCTGCACTCCAACATTAACCCATGAAAACACTTTTCTTCATTTAGAATTCACAGTCAATAACAGAATATTAATGCTACTTTTAGAGAACATAACCTCTCAAATATTTTGTTTCCTTTTCAGAAACTAAACTCACCAACATTGTCTGTAAATAGTGAAGGCTTTATACCAATGCTTTCTAAACTTGATGACTGCATTGAATATGTTTCCTCCCATGTAAGTATCTGCTTTTTACTTATGATGTTGCATAGTATCAAAATATTGTCTGTTTTTATTTTTTGTAATGGATTTAATACTGTTTGTTATTCACAGCCTAATTTTAAGGATTATCCTGTTTATATGGCCAAGTTTAAACAATGTCTTTCAAAAGCTATGCACTTTATGAAGATCCATATTGTAAACACTATGCAGAACCTTACGAGTCAATTAACAAAAAGGGTAAGTAACACAGCTCTCATAAATGTTTAGCATATCTGCAACTGAATATGCCTTTTGCTATTGTAGGATCCAATGGGCCTGGCAAATGCAGACAATGCCTTTACACTTTATTACGTTAAGTTTCGAGCAGCTGCGCCTAAAGTTAGAGTAAGTTTACTGCTTCTCCTAAACAATATGGGAGAATCATTTTTCTCTGTGTAATTCTGTCAATTAATTTTGCATATGCCTCTTCAGACTTTAATTGAACAGATTGAACAGCGAGCAGAGAAAATTCCTGAGTAAGTCTAAGCAGTATATATTTCTTTTCATTATACTATATCCGTATAGCTCCATAAAATGAATTTCTTTTGTTTTCTGAGCAGATATCAGCACCTCCTAGATGAGATTCACCAGTGTTACCTAGACCAGAGAGAGCAGCTGCTGAGCCCCAGTATTACATCCACCATTACAGACCTGACCAACCAAAACAGCAAAGATCACTGCGCTCTGGTAAGGCACGGCTAAGCTGCCCTTTGCACGCTGTCATGTGACATTTAAGAAGAGTTACATTGGCCAGGACACAGCTTCATTTCTTATCTGTATTTTTTGCAAGAATTTTCCACCCTTTGCACATGATGAATGATTATTACAGACAACCCAATAGCTTTGTTCATTATTATGGCTCTCTGTGGTCACTTTTTACTGTGAGATTTGTTCATGTTTGATGTTTAGCAAACCAAAAGCTGCCTATTAACAAAAAAAATCCTCTTTGTTGGTTATACATTTTAGCATTGGTCATAGACATAAAAGGACACAAGTCTGTAATAAAGGCATACATTGGTGTGTGTGTGTTGTGGATTCCCAAAGATGATGTTACTACAAAATGTTGTTGCTTGGCTAATAATATGTTGTAAATTATTGAAATTAATTTAAGTATGAGAGATACACAAATTTATTGGTTCACTAATTTAAATTTATAATTTTAATATCAGCAGAGCTTATCATTGGCTACTTCCTCTGGGCTCTAAAAACTCCAGTATTGGTAAACATACTTTTCAGGGTACATTTTCTTAATTTGATTTTCATATTAACAATAATTTATCATTTATACCTGGTATGTAGAATATCCAGTTTACATTGTATGTAGAATATTAGATTAGATTAATTGCTCAGATTATTATTGCGAAAACTCTACTGAGTAAAAAGACTAGACATCTGATGATGCCTTTCAATCATTTTACTGACGTGCTAATTGTGTTCAACAACAATGTGCTATTAATCAGTGGTTTGCACAGTCATAAGAAATGAAACTGACCTAAGGGTTTGCATAATAATTGCAGCCTAACCCGTTCTTACTTTCTTGACACTTCACAGAGAGTAATATTAAATTCTGGCACCTTACCAGACTGCCTATTTGACACTGTTTTGGCATTTAAAACATCACACTAATTGGCTTGATGGGGATGTGATAATTAAAGGTCAGAATTCCATGCACTGAAAGGCGTCCTCTTTGGCGCACCACCTGTCCAAGCTTTTTTAAATGAAACTTGAAAGGTTATGCATCTTGTTAATGATTGTCCTAATTGGTGTCTGCGTCATTTACAGGCAAAGTGTTCTTGTGTTTTGAAGCACAGCCAAAGCCACACTGTATCAGGCATTGTCAACAGTTCTCATCATGGCTTTTGTTTGTACAGGTTCGCAGCGGCTGTGCTTTCATGGTGCATGTGTGCCAGGATGAACACCAACTGTATAATGAGTTTTTCTCCAAGCCTACGCCCAAACTAGAGTAAGTGACATACTTTTTAAAGGTCCTATATTATGCAAACTTTTGTGAGCTTTAAGTCATGTTAAAATGCTGTTTCATCAAAAAACAAACCTGGAGTTGTGTTTTGTTTCAGTCACATGTTTGAGTAGCCCTTTATTATTTGTCTGTCTATATCTCCAAAGCTCAAATTGCTCTTTTCTACCTTGTGATGTCATGCAGTGGTAGAAAAGTGGTACTTTTACCTTCAGTTCAGTAGAAATTGGCAATTTCAGAGATGAAATGTTCCAAATGATTCTAGTGAAGGTGTATGGAGTTTAAAAACATAATGGCACACTTCCAATATTTCTACATTACATCTCAAGGTCTACATTACATCTCAAGGTTGTTTCTGTTAGAGAGAAGAACTCAGCCTAAATATGCAAGATTTGTGTGATAAACATGTGTGAATGAAACAAAATACAACTTCAGGTATGTTTGTGATGAGGAAACACAGAGAATAGAGATCAGAAAGTAGCGTAATATGAGCACTTAATGATCACATGATGTCAGCCAACACAATAATTTTATGTTTGCTGAAGGCGTTTTCTCACCTTGCTCATATGCCATTTTCAGCTCTAATCTGTACTTGATAGTTCCAATAGCTCTTCACTGTCACAGTAAAGACACATTGTTTTCTATTATTGATTCACTCTGAGCCATTATTAGCTTTCTTTTGTTTGGCCTCTGCAAACGGACATATAGTTTAGATAATTCTTAAGTACAACAATGATTAAAGTGTCTTTGTTCTCCCACAGCGAGTTGTTAGAGAAGCTGTGTTTGTCTTTATATGACGTCCTCCGGCCAATGATTATCCACATCATCCACCTGGAAACACTCTCAGAGCTCTGCAGTATCCTCAAGAACGAAATGTTGGAAGATCACGTTCAAAACAATGGTATGCCCAACTTTAATGGCCAAATTATGTTTATTATTGAAATTTATTTTAGTTCTCATTTAGGCTGGTACAGTACCCCAAAAAATATTTCAGTATCATTACTTAAAAATAATCTTACTCGAGTACAAGTAAAATTTAGTTGCCTATTCTATTTTTTTTCCCCTCGTTTATTTTTAATTATACTGAACATTAGGAATATGGATTACTCTTATTGTTGTGTTTTTAGGGTGACCATGTTTACCATCTGTCCAGGGACTACAGATGAAAAATAGCCTCTCATTTACAGAGATGTTGATTAATGTACACTGTCCCCCTGCTAAATTAATCAAATAAATAATTAAAGTGGGAATCTCTGCTTTAGAGTTATTGTGTCAGTGGCATAAAGTAGTTTCAGTATCATTGCTTGTTGTGGTATTTTCTGGAACAATATATCACACTTAGAAATGTGTTACCGTGACAGGCCTTACCAGTTCTCCCTCAAAAAAGAGGGAGAATACTCAATATTAAAGAATAACTACAAGTAAAAAAGAACCACTACTACTCTTAGAGGTACACTTTCTTTCAAAAGAGTAAAAGACACTGATTACCACCCACCTGTACCACCTACCTCCTGTAATGTTAACTTTAAATGCTTCTGTGACAAAGAAATCCAAGTAAAAAGTCAGTGAAGTAGGTTGTTATTTGAGCAGAGAACTCCAAGTGAAAGTATGTGCTTTTGGAACCCGCTCCGCTACGTGATCCGCTTTTCTTTGAAACATGAAGACTGACACTTTTATTGTTCACCACCATGGCTTGTTCATTCTGTCACCTGCTCAGAGTTTTTTTTTTTTTTTTTTTCCTTTTTTACTTTCACGGTCGCTCCTACTCCCACATCGATTTTCAGTCTCTTTAGTGTGCGGACCCCACAGGCCTTGTATCAAATAGATGTATTTAGAGGCAAGGATTGTGAGTTTTGTCAGTGGTGCACCTGTAAGCTGACCTCTGCCTCCTCTTACACAGCGGCACAGTTGGGAGCCTTTGATGCGGTGGTGAAGCAGATGCTGGAGGATGTTCAGGAACGGCTTGTGTATAGAACGCATATTTACATCCAGACAGACATCACGGGATACAACCCGGCTCCAGGAGATCTGGCATATCCGGAAAAATTAGAAATGATGGAGGTATGTCATTAAAAAAAAAAAAAAAATTAATCATAAAAAAATAAATATAAGGGAACTCTCCAGGTTGTAGGTGAATTAAATTATCGAAACCAATGTTATCAAAAGGAAAGACTCAAAACTATTTCATTTTTGCTATTTTTTAAATAGTTAATAATATATTATTATCAAGACCAGATTTTTATGTAAATAAAGCATGAAGATTGTGAATGAACAGTAATTGAAGGTTTGTCCCATGCATGACAAGAAATATTAAAACATTATGGTTTAATTTTGGGGTTGTCAAAGCATAAAATACTAAATAATACTAAAATTCTAAAACTAGTATTGAAACTAGTCATCATGAATAGCTGTAGAATGATCCTGAGCTGTTGAGCTGTATCAGAACAAGTATAAGACCACATTGTGTACGCCCATGAACCACTCTGGGATTTATCTGGATGACTGAGGGATTACACAGATATAAATCAGCATGGTAAAGTAAAATAAAGTATGTTAGTGTTATTTAATGTTAAAAATCACATTCCATTGTCTAAGAGTGTTTTTATCATCACTGTGGTATCGGAATTGGTACCGAGTATCAAGTCTAATCCTTAGTATCAAAATCAAGTTTGAAAGTTTAGTATAATGAACATTTCTGTAATTAAATTTGTGCTAGTCAAATTTATTTTATGGTGCAACTATTCTTACTGTTAAAACTGTGTTCATGTGACTCTTGTGCGAACTGTTGTTGTGTCCTTTGGCAACACACTTCACTCACCCTCCATGTATATGAATAGTGTAAGTCAGTGATTGCATACACTACATGTCATTTTCCGTTGCTTATGGACTATGTGTTGCTATAATATTGAGCCTAACACTGAACATTTTCTGAATCACATTTTTTTCTATTTCGGTCTTCATACTGTGATGGGTGGAAGTTGGATAATTAAACAGAAAGTTTTAGTGGATCTTGTAAATGTCAGAAACGCACAAACTTAAATTACATTTCTTTTAAAGTTTCAATATCTGCAAGTGCCAAGGTTTCACCTCTTTGAAAGACTCACATTGTTTTATGTTGACTGCTTTGATTATCTGAATGTGCAAGGTCTTGAAAATGCCTGCACTTGTACAAGAAACACTGCCTTTGAGACTGCCGTGCCTAAATGAGTTTTTTAACATCTATCCCTTTTGATGTAATCTTTTGTCTCCCCATGTTTTGTTTTCTACAGAGAATTGCTCAGAGCTTGAAGGAGGAGCAGATGAAGCAGATGTCGCAGGAAGCCTCGTTTTCTGATGTCCAACTGGAGGAAGGTGACAGTAGAAGGAACAGTACTGCTGGTCAGTGTCTCCTCATTTGAACTTGAATTGTGAGTTTCTATAACTGTAATTGGCCTAATAACACCTTTGATGTTGTGCAGGAAGCATGGAATCATCTCGCCTACAAACGTCCATCTCTCCTGCTGATCTGCACGGCATGTGGTACCCGACTGTTAGACGAACACTAGTTTGTCTTTCCAAGCTCTACAGATGCATAGATGTGAGTCTGAATGCACTTTGATATAAACAAAAAACATGCTTTCTTGTAACTATATGAAAAAAAACATCTAAGGTGAACTGGAAATAAAGAGCTAATTTAAAGTGCACTATGTACCTTTTTGGTAGGGAGTCCATTAACTGTTTGTTTCTATAGATATGTCATTGCTCTGCCTGGAATGTTCCACAGTATGACATTAAACAGCTCTACATTATATTTATTAAATTTAAGGTGGTTTTCTAGCTTAAAAATACCTAGAAAAACATATTTTGACTGTGAGCAGTTGCTTCTCCACAGATCTTACATCATCTGGCTTGGTCTCCATGATGATAGAAGGGTTCAATGCCGTACTGTGAAATGCAAAATTTGTCACATGGGCATGGTTGTAGATATTTTTTTTTTACTTTTATGTTTTATAAAATCTTACAGTACCAACTTGCAATTTCAATTTCAGGATTTTTTTTTTGTTTTTTTGTTTAAGAGTTTTCTATTTTTTTGTTTTTCATATAACTTTGTGATTTTCCAGCGTGCTGTCTTCCAAGGTTTATCTCAAGAAGCCTTATCTGCCTGCATCCAATCTCTGCTCAAAGCCTCAGAAATCATCCTCAAAAACAAGGTGCAAATTCTTCCTTATTTATCTATTTAGCTCTGAGATTCTTGTCAGAAATGCTAGGAATGTCCCATTCCCAAAAATATCATATTGCTTTCATCTATTTTTCTCGCTACTAGTGAAAGGAGCATTAACTAATGCTGATGGAATGCCATTTCAAGTGTAATTTAATAGACATATTATATGCTTTACAAGGCAGTCAACAGACCTTTCTTTATTGATTTATTTTTTTTACCCTCAAAATTGCCGTCAATATCCGTGGCAACTGGCCCATCTCATTCTAACACTTCAAATTAAAGCTGTAACATCAGTCTCCAGGGATATGTCTCCTCCTCCCACTGCTGATGTCTTTCTCCATTGTTTTAGCTGAGCAATAAATAGTTTAAGCTGCCTCTTCTTTTTGTCACACTAACACCTCCCTCAGCAGCGATGATTAAACAGCAGTTATTAATTAGCGATATTCCCTTATCGTCTCTAAGCCAGTGCTTTTTATGTCCTCTGAAGCTCGGATAGTCAGCAGATGCCCTTTTGTTTTGGCAGCCTGCAGTGTGGATTTAACAGTGCGCTATCTTTTTTTCCATAGACACAAATAGACGGGCAACTTTTCCTGATCAAGCACCTGCTGATAATGCGTGAACAGATTGCCCCATTTCACACCGATTTTGCCATCAAGGAAATCTCACTGGACCTGAAGAAAACACGAGGTAAGATAATTAAAGGTGCAGGGGAACATTGGTGTTCAGCTTCATAAAGCCGGTCATTACATTCTCATGCTCATTAAGCAACTTGTGCCGATCACATGCACCGGTGGCAACAATTAATGTGGAAATTACAGTGTAATGCAACACCATTATGTACATTAACTGATGGCTGATGGGGCAGAGCAGCTCCTCCTCTCTGCATCCCAGTCAAGGTCATGCAACATTTGTGGCACTAGAGGGCACTCTGGTGCTGCTCCAACCCACGTGTAACCTGTGTGTTCTTTGTTTCAGATGCTGCCTTCAAAATCCTCAACCCCAGGGCTGTTCCCAAACTCTTCCACCTTAACAGTCACAATGCCATCTTGGAGTTCCTATTGGAGGTGGGTATTTCAGCCCCTTTTTTATTAAGGACACACTACACTTTATAGACTATGATGGCTCCCTTTATGGGCAAACGTCATTTGGTAGTGCTAAAGCCTCTTCTCTGTGGCCCCCAGGGAACACCAGAGATAAAGGAGCACTACATTGACTCTAAGAAGGATGTGGACCGGCACTTGAAGTTCAGCTGTGAGCAGTTCATTCAGCAGCAGACTCAGATCTTTGTGGGGAGCCTTGAGGAGTTTCTCACCAAGGTAACACCAGGCTCAAGGAAGACATCACTAGGGGCAGCAATAACATGCTCTGACCTTCACCATCTACCATTAATACCTTTCACAAAGAAAAATATTCACAGGTCATTCAAATATTGACAGCCAAACTTATCTTTGTGTTTTTTGGTATGTTTTTTCAGAATGTTTTACAGTTGTTTTTTTTCCCCCAAACTCTGGAACAAATTCTCAAATGCCAAAACATCTCTACAATACAGATACAACTTAATCCAATACTGTTCTGTTATTCCTGCGTCCAGGTTGCAGCTCTTAAAACGACGGCTATTCAAGGTGGTCCGACATACAATCTGGCTCAGCAACCTTGGGCACAGCCAGGTAAGATTTGTCTTAGGAAATGCCACTGGCTCCCCGACGTAATTCATCAAAACTTCTATAGCACATGCTAGAGGGCATGTCAGTGTTTTTTTTTTCCTCAGCAGTGTTTTTTCTCTTTTCAGCAAAGATCAACGATATAGTGATGGCTACCTACCGAGTGATGAAGAGCAAGCTGCCAAGCACTTTGCAGAGCATGTCCTTGTACTTGGCCAATAGAGACACTGAATTCATTCTTTTCAAGCCTGTCCGGGTATGTGGGCAAAAAGGCAAACCACCAGTTTGTATTGTTTGAAAACCATAATAATTTTGAACGACTTGCCGTATTCAATCACACAGGGAAGGTCAAAACAAATTTAATAGCAGCCCTTGCATTTTTTAAATTCAGACAGTGATGAATTTTACATGGCAGTAGTAATAATTTAGTACAGATTTAAAATAAAAAGGTGTACCAGGTATTACATCCAATCTATCCAATCCGATGCAAAAATGTCCTACAAAAATAACCCTCTTTTCATAATTAGTCCGTGTTGGACAGAAACCCAATCTGAATGCTGAAATGATTTTTTTTCTGACCCTTTTTACGTGAGCCGGTCCTGCAGCTTGTGCCTTTAGCCACGAGCTATTAGCATAATTGAACTCTAATAGATGGATATTTGTGCTGCCTGTGTAATGTTCATCAAGGTGCCAGGTGAACCTGAATGAGAGGGGAGAAACAAAATTCAGTGGTTGACATGGAAACAGGATGGCGAGGGGACGGAGGCCAGATGGAAATGCAGTGTTAATTTCTCTCTACCACGGGGTAATATGATGGCTTTTTCCACAGAATAACATCCAGCAGGTATTCCAGAGACTGCACTCTTTGCTTCAGGAGGAATACAGCGGAGAGGACCTTCAAATCATCGCATGTCCATCTATGGAACAGGTACAGCCCCAAAAGGCACCCAGCATGGTTTAATAAGATCCCCGCCACAGCCTCAGCGCTAACAGCAACCTGAGTAGACATTACTGCCAGATAGATAACGCATAGCAGCTTAAGCCCGCATCAAGCACTCAATTTCTCGTCTCCCTGGCTCTCTCTTTCAGATTAACCTTCTGCTGTCTGCGAATAAGTAATACCTGAGTTTGGTGTTGAAATGCAAAGGAACGAGCTGGATGGCACTGTGATGTCGCAACAGCGGCCGTGACCAGGAGCCAGGTCTGAGAGATGACGAGAGAACCGCGGGGAACGGTGCAAGCGGGGAAAATCTGCACATGACCAAAGATACAGGCTTCTAGTGGGTTCAAGACAGTCACATGAATTGGTATTATTTTATAGCATCAAAATACTGCCATTCGGGTGATGTGTAGCAGTGGAGAGAACTTTCTGAATAAAGGAGCACATATCTCTTAAAGCATATGAAGAAGTTGTACACTACTAGTGTGTAGTAGGGTGGTGGGAAGATGCATTGTTCACAAAGCTAACTGGAGATTGGTAAGAGTTTTTCATGAGCCAGGTAAAGGCCTATTGATCAACTTGTACTCGTTTAGATTTCTTTGATGGATTGGTAAAAACAACATGCTGCAAAAATCTTTTTAGTCATTTATTTTAAAATGCAACAGACTTGTAATATTTAAAAGAACTCTATTACGAGTTGAACTCCAGGCTCTCAGGTCCCATCTGGTCCCCCCTGATTAAAAGCCTCACAACAATTGAGTTGTAACATACTTCCACATTCTTACCCACACTATTTTTGTTATTCTGTTGCAAATATGTAAAAATAAAGAGTTGTTTTATACATTTGTTTTATACCTAGGTTCATTAAAATACCGATTTGTTGGCCTAAGCAGCTTTGCACTGTATTCATGTTTCCTACGAGTAACAAAGGAAGCAGGACTCTTGTCAGTAACATTAGTTTTCATGTGTTCTATGTGAGATGATTTGTACAGCTCTACTATTTATGAACTTTCTGATTAAAACAAGATTAATGATGCTCTGTGGCTTTCCTTCTACCAGGCATGCTGGTGCATTTACATTGACAGAATACTAAAGAGTCATTTCACACAAATGAGGCGCCGCCATTCAAGGACACTATCGGCTTTAGGGGTCTTCTTGGCAGACAGTGGCTTTTTCATTGGCAGCCTCTGTCTTTCCATCTGTGAGATGAGGCTTTGCTGGGGCTTGACCTTCCGTGGACTGACAGTCTTTTGATAGGTGATGAGGGACCGCATGTTCTAGAGCAGGGCATTGATCTCTGCACTCTTCTGCTGCAAATACCTCTGAAGCATGTCAGGCCCTGGCAGCACCAGACCTTTGCCTCAATTCAACTGTGACAGCAAGGAAATAAAAAATTCAAACCACATTCAATTATTTGGCCAAAAACTCTGTCAATTTCTTGCATCATTCTACAAATGAATATTAACCACGCGACAGAGTCAGATGCTTTACATTTGACTTCATAATAAGGTGAACTGTGTGGTTCCGAGCAGGGAAAGTGGGGTAAATGCTCCCTTGGGTTTGGAGGTTGACGTTGGGGTTTACTGTCAGACGAAGGGGTTACCCGGGTGGATCTGGCTGCTTATCCAGCCAGCACATCTCCCAGCGGCACTGCACTACTACCCAGGTGCCTGTTTAAGATGCTGGATTCAGCCTAATTATAAGAAGACGCTCATGAACAATAAGCATTATAGAAGAGTGCTGTTGCCTCATCCACATAGGTCATCATATCTGTCTGCTCTCGCGCAGATAAGTAGGCGCTCTAAAAGCTGAATATTTTTCTGCTTAAGATAACTAATGAATTCCCTATGGTGTGAAGGTCAAATGAGAAAGTTGTTTTCCTTGACCATCAATACCATTGTAGACAGCCCCGAGAACAGCTGTGGGCAAAGTAGTAAACCATTTTCAGATGGGAAGTAAAAATATGATTTTTAAATGTCATTTTTCAGACTCATGACTAATGTACTTTTTAGAGCACTCCTAAATGTTAGTAAATGCAGAGAAATGAAATAATGTGTAATGTGTATATAGACATATTCTTAGTGTTGTACTCAAAATAGTTGTTTGCATGATATTGTTAAGAATGAAATGTTTAAGTTATACACTGTCAGTAGGTTTTACAGCTGCTTGTGCATCATTACTACTATACATTTAAAAACATACTTTTCCTGGACATTTAAAGGTCATATTTCAATAATACGTACATATTAATCAGAGACCTAATATAAATGCGTAAAATTTTTCTGAAACCTGTGTCCATTCATTTTTCTGGATGACCCCTCACAGCACACCGGCTGCATATTCTTTCAAAGTTCAGCCCTTGCCAGTCTCAAGTATACTCTGAAAATGGGAAAGAGCTTCGGTGGCATAGAATTTAATTTAAAAACCATTTAGTGTTTAAACCAGTATTAGACAAGGGTGATCCTGACCTTTGGCCTTTCTGCTTTACTGGTTTTCTATCAGGCGTGGATTCTTCTACGCCGCGCCCTTCATCAACTGTCTGGATAACTTCATGCCTTTAACAGCTGAACCCATAAGACTGGAAATAGACCTATACAGAATTCTCCAGCCATGTGTCTCCTTATTTCAGACCTTACATTACACGGTATTTTAGTATTCTTTGCAAGTGGTATGTTTATTTTATGTAGCCTATTTCCCATACCACATGTCTTATTTAGTGCGTCTTTCATGTGACCATATTAACTGTAATGTCAACTTGCTAGCTCTCCCTGCTGTTCTAGGTCAAATCCGCCTGTTTGATCAATGGTCACTTGGGGTTTCTGAGCCTGCTGGCAGTTCTTATAACTAATGTTCAACACTGTCTCCTTCTGAAGCGTTCTTGAGCCCCGCGTGGGAGTGTGATCTGAAAACATTATTGACAAAAATGTGCCTTTTTAAAAACCCTACTCTGCCTTTACTGTCACGTACAAATAGCCGTCACATTTTGCAGTTAATGAGGTATTTAAAAAACATCTGGTATGTTGGAACGCCAGGCGGCATCAGTGACAGTTACGATATGTGGAAATCGTAGACTAATTGCACGTTCCTTTAAAAGAATCCTCTATTTATAGTTTTAGAAGAGACAAAGAAGGTATTTTAAGAATGCCACTTTTCTACCAAACCTTGTCCTGATTAGTTGGAGACATCTCCGCTTCGTAGTTGGCATGCAGGAGGGCACGGTAGATTTTCCTTTCCAAAGTGAATCCAATCCACTTAATTATCCGGGGAGATCTTCAATTTCATGTTTTTACGAATGTTCTGTAGGGAGAAAAAAACAAAGTCAGTTCATAATGTATTAAATTCTTTGAGGTTGATTTGTGCTATATGAATAAATCACAAGCGCGAAACTCAATGTCTCTGGGTACCGTGTCATATCATCATTCATAAGAGAAAACTTGGGATAAAACGCAGTGACAAGGACAGGGAAGGCAAGCAGAACTTTAATTCGCTCACAAATCTTTAAGAAGAGGAGAAATCGCATTGAGTTCTAAGTGTGTAAAGAAAACATTAAAGGATGTGAGTGAATACGTCTCACCTGTCAGTGTCCCACAGTGAAGCTTTTACCAAGTCAAGGACATGGTATTCCACACAGTCTGACTTTATACTTGCAGGGAAGCCAAAACTCCTGTATTTATCAACCTTAACACACACGCATCTGCTCATATGTCACCTCCCAATTCTTCGAAGAGGCTTTTGATGTCGCTCGGTTTGAATATTTATGGCCTGCAAATGCAAAAATAATGAAAGATTATCTCTGACATGCACCGCCATTTACCAGCCAAGGTCAAGGGATTAATAATTTGCATAAATTTTGTACAAATCTCACCTTCAATACAGTCTTTCATGTCGGCGGGCCACGGTCTAAGTGTGCTGATCTTGGCGACCGCTCTTCCGTCAAATGCGTCCATTGTTGCGGATTCAGAGAGGTGACACCACAAGGAGATTATAAGATACACAATATATAGGCTAGTATACAGCTGATAAGACAGGCTAACTACAATAGAATGCATTATTTCAGACAGTGATAAAAATTCATCTGTCACAACAAATCTCTTTCCACTATTATGCTCCAAAGAATGGCACTTATTGTTAATGGAAATGCTTCTCACAAAGGTTTTGTTTTGACTTGCTTTGTGGAATGCATTAGTTTAACTTTTTGTTATGAATGCATGTTATCGTGAAGGAACATTATTTCAGAACCTATTGATTTGAACTCTTACTCTTACCTTGACAAAGTTTTCAGTTTGTTTCGGTTTTGTTGAGCGGAGAGAGACACATGTGGAAATAGGAAATGCGGTACTTTGCAAATGCCTCAAGAGACACAAGCAATGCTGTGAGTGAACTTGAATGAACAGTGAAGTGTTAATGTATTATAGATTGCCATGATGGGCCAAAACAACTGGAATAGTGGAATCAGTATTGAATTTTTTATACAGTTTCTTTACAATTGTTACATTTAATGAGAAGTTTTCATTCAAACTGCATTTTCTTCCAATTGTAAACTAAACAATAAATAAATTATGCGTGTAAAACAAATAGGGATGCACCGATCTGATATCAATATCGAATATCGGCACCAATTCTGAGAAATCTGCTGAATCAGATGTGCAAAGATTCCAAATATCGGTTCAGCAGATATCCTGGTTGGACTATTTACTGGTCGCAGGCGGCACAGAAAGTCTCATAATATTTTGAACTTTGATGTTTTGAGGAATAATAACAGCCACATAAAACATTTCAATCTGTTTTAACTAAATAAATGCTGTTCTCAGTCTCTGCATTAGTATCGCTTTAGTATCGGAACTGAAAAAGCTGCATTGGCGCGTCCCTAAAAACAAATCTAATGTTCAGTAATTAGTTCTTCAAGTCCAATCTGGAGCAAACTCTGTAACTGAAAGGTTAGAGGTTCGAATCCCATTCATGCAACCCCAATTTCGCATTAAAGTGTTCACGTGATTTTGTTTTGAAGCAGGAGGCTCTGGGTGCAAATTGACAGTCAAGGTTCTACAAAGTGTCTACACATAACTTAGAGCCATCAGTGTGTGGGGAGTCAATGAATAATGCAACTGTGCCCCAAGACCAGTCGAAAGATAAAGGTGTGAGAGAGGTAACCTTGGCTTGGTTTTCAAAGTTTACTTTTTGAACCCAACCCTGTGATTTTACTAGCCTCTGGGACTTCATAAGACAAATAAATGTAAGAATAATACAATTTTAAAAGTATCTGGACATGTCAAAATCAGCCAACTTGTGAAATTTATATAAACACATACAAATATAATACTGTATTTTGGGTTGAATCTATACCAATTTGTGTTTCTTATTTTGATGTTTTTGTGAAACATCTTGGGATTTTCCCGAAGATATGTTGTGAAAATAAGCCGGTAACACCCTGCCCAGCCCCCTAACCACAACAAAAGATGAAGATACAGTGAATTCCGACAGCTCGCGAGTGGTCAGATACAAACATGTTTTGCTCCTGCTGTACCATAGCAACCACCGCAGAACAATATGTCTCCAAAGACCCCCATTAAAACTAGTATGAGACTGACAGAAAACTGCAATTAGCCTGAAATCCACCTTTGTTTTCTTATCTCCTCTTTGTGTCTCTGCTTGTCCCAGTGGATTATAAATCTCATTAAGTCAATTTTATCATATCTTGCTTTTCTTTTAGCAACAAATTGTCCTGAATGGTTTGATGGTTATAGCGGGCTGTGAGCAGTGTGTTAAATTTGTCCTGATAGTGCTAATTGATTTGTGTACAACCCGTGTGCTTTGGTAGAAGCTAAATTACATTAATTGCAAATAAAGGGTGAGAAAACACTGAATGTTCTAGCCGGCTTTAGCTAATAGTTTGTTTACATGGCTGAAAATAGCCTCAATTTGCAGCAGCAGGCACAGGAATAAATAAAAAAGATAATAGCGCAGTTTAATTTTATGGAAAACCAATTCAGATACATTGTAATGGCCTATTAGTAACAAGCCTAAATGTGCATAATG